CGGCGCTGCTGGCGGCCGAGCGCCCCGCGGAGGTGAGGGGCGGGCTGCCCGGAGGGATCGGAGGAGGAGACAGGTCGGCAGGCGCGGATGCGGTGGCTGCCCACGCGGCGCTGGGCAGGCAGAGCCGTGGGCGCGTGGCGGTCCGAGTGGGGCACGGCTCCGAGCAGTGGGAGTGTGCCGGTGGGTCCGTGGTCGAACTTTGTCTCCGCCGTAGCGTCGATCTCCGCGAGCGCGATCCGATACCCCGGTGAGTGTGTGTCGGCCTCTTTGGGAAAGTCAGTGTCAGTGGGTGAGTGCGTGCGCCCCAGCGGGTCGAGTAGTTGAACCTGTGGGACTTGTTTGTGTGTGTGCTCTGGTGTGAGCGCCCCGAGGCGGGGGACCGCGGCCAGAGACCCGCGAGCCCCTGGAGCCCCGCCGAGCCTCCTCAAACCCGGGGCACTCCACCCCGCCCGGACCCGGTAAAACTGGGGGTGGGAGTGGGGGTGGGGGCTGGGACAGTGGCCTGGAAGGACAGTTAAGCCTCTGTCAGGAGGCTTTTAATCTGGCAGGCAGTGCCGTAGGAAGGGTCAGTTTGGAGAAGGGCAGTGCCCTCCCTCAGCTCCCCAACTGGGGGCTGTCGGTGGCAGGTTGCCCTACTTTCCCCCAGGAGCCAGACCCAAGGGCCAGGCCCAGCTGCGGATTAAAACTGCCAGTTTGGGGTCTGTGGGGCTGGTGGCAGCTGTTTCTTTCAGCCTGGCATCCTCAGCTTCCCTGGGCCTGCAGCCTGAGGTGCGTGGTTTGTTTGGGGAGCTAGGCTGTGATAATGGGGAGCTTTTGAAGGCTAGGGTGGGGCCCTGGTAAAGTCTCAGTTATCTGTGTGTGTGGTAGTGGTTGGGAAGGAGATTCTTTAAGCAGACAGGGCCCGCAAAAGCTCTCTGGAGACTCAGACCTATATTCCAATCCTGCCCTGGCCACTATGTGACCTTCTCTGAGCCTTAGTGGCTTCATCTGCAAAAGGGGAAAAACAAGAATATGGAACTTGAGGGCCGTCGAGTTCCTAATGTGTGGGTCATGTTCAGCACCAGTGTTCTCCTGGGTAGGCTCACGGCTTGGGGATGGGGGTGGGGTCAATCCCTGGAGGGAACTGCCTGAAACCCAAATCTGAACTATTCTCCTCCCTGGGCTAACAAGACCCAGCCTGAACCCCTTAGCCTGGGACCCAAGGCCTCCAAGAACTGCTTCTTGCCAACCTCTCCAGCCCCTCTCCTGCCTGACCCTTTACCCTCTAGTGATTACATGTAGTTCTGCTGCATACACGAGACAGTTTCTTGCTTTTGGACCACGGCATATTCTATATACTCACTGCCTGAAATGCCCTCCTACCCTCATCTTCCTCAGTTGGAGAATTACCTAGCCTTGGGGCCCAGCTCAGATGCTCCCTCTTTGGGGAAGCCTTCCTTGATCCCACAGTTGGATTGGAGCATCTTCTGGCTCTTGAAAGTCCCAGGACTTACAACCCTGGTTCCACCTGGGAAGGTTATGGTCTCTGTCCCCCTCCTTCCCTCACCAGAGGTCTGGGGCCCCCTGGAGGACAGAAACTGGCCATCACTCATTTCTCTTTTGCCAGCACCCTGCACAGGGCTGAGCTGAACTGAGAGAGCACCAGCAGCCTCTATCCCCTGTTCCCTACCCCCAGCTTCCCCAGTGAAGGCATGTCTACAGTGGAGCTCCATGTCATCACAAAGAAGAGGAAACTAGAATCCGGTGATCAAGACAGGTGGCACAGGTTGTCAGAACAGTGTGTCCTGGAGGCATTACAGGACCCAGAGTATATAAGCCAAAAACTTTGATTTCACTCTGTAGGTGATAGGGAGCCATGGAAGGTTTGTGAACAAGGAGGATTCATGGTCAAAGCAGCATTTCAGAAAGATCTCTCTGGCTGCAGGGTGGAGAATGGATTGAGTAGTGCTATACAAGGAGATCAGATATTGACACTAGAACCATCCAGGCATTACTTATACTCTGAGCCCTTGATCCCTTGGCCAAGGGTCTGGTCCCTCAGACCTTAGATGTTCCTGCTGAGGAATTTGGGGATACCTAGGGCTCTCCCTCCCCCAGTGGGAGCCAGGAGACCTGCAATTGATCTCATCCCAGCTCTTCCCCCAACTTGCCGGGTGACCTTGGGGGGGCAGTTCTTGCCCTGCCAGCTTCTAAAAGGAGGCCAGCACCACTAAGGTCCTGTGTTGAGAGTATGTGCCTGGGAGGCCCTGGCATGGAAGAATTCTCAATTTCCTCTTTTTTCTGCCTTGGGCTGCCCTGGCATGGAAGAATTCTCAGTCTCCTCTTTTTTCTGCCTTGGGCTGCCCTGGGGTCTAGCCAGAGGAGTTGGAGGATCACAGTGGCTGACCTTCATAAATGGCTGCCAAGCTTGTGTTGCAGACTGAGGCTACGACCCCTCCATTCTTATTTTCTTCTTGCCCAGGATGCACAGGCCCTGAGGCTTCTGGATCCTCCAAGGACCAGCTAAAAGTATGAGAAATCACCAAGGTCTCATGGGTGAGTGCTTTGATTTGGCTTCTTTCCTGGCTATGGCCTTTAGAGAAGCCACTCTCCCCCTCTAGATTGTCAGTTGGCTATCTGTAAATTGGATCTGATGATCCTTGCCTCTTCAAATGCAAGGTTGCTATGACAATTCTTTTTATTTTTTTTATTTTTTTTATTTTTTATTTATTTTTTTTTTAACGTTTATTTATTTTTGAGACAGAGAGAGACAGAGCATGAATGCGGGAGGGTCAGAGAGAGAGGGAGACACAGAATCCGAAACAGGCTCCAGGCTCTGAGCTGTCAACACAGAGCACGACGCGGGGCTCGAACTCACGGACGCGAGATCACGACCTGGGCCGAAGTCGGATGCCCAACCAACTGAGCCACCCAGGCGCCCCTTTTTTTTTTTAATGTTTATTTTTGAGAGACAGTGTGCTTGAGTGGGAGAGGGCAGAGAGAGACAGGGACAGAGGATCCGAAGTAGGCTCTGCACTGACAGCAGCAAGCCTGATGTGGGACTTGAACCCGGGAACTGTGAGATCATGACCTGAGCCAAAGTCCAATGCTCAACTGACTGAGCCCCCCAGGAGCCCTGCTGTGACGCCTTAATTCTTAAGACAGTGGTCAGGAAAGGGCTTTGTAAGCTGTGGAGTGCAATGCACAGGGAGAAGTGTGATACTCAGAGACTTTTAAAGAAATGCATTTTGAAGATATTAGAACAAGGGTGCAGTAACAAGGGATTGTGCTAGATATTGGAATTTTAACCACTGACTGCCTTCCTCTCCCTGTGTCCCCTCTGCAAAGACAGCTTACTAGTAACAATTTATAAAAGTCTCTCATTTTATCCTTTATCAATCCTATGAGGGAGGAATTGTTATCCCCATTTTGCAGATGAGGAAGTAGAGGCTCAGGGAGTTTCCTTCCCAAGATCACAGAGCAGGGGTGAAAGCTAGGGCTACCTGACCCAACTTACCTCTCTCCATTTAAGACAGAAGTTCCATCTGAGATTCAGAGCTCCATTCTCTGGCTTTCAGGGTGAAGGAAGTTTGAATATTGCCCTGAAAACATGACTTTAGGTTTTGCTTGTGGCCTGATTAGCCACATTGCTCACAGGACCAGAGAAGCCACGCATCCCTGGTGAAATCCTCTCTGACCTCTGTGCTCATCCTAGAGGTCAGGTGAAGGACTAGGCCAGCCTGCTTTCTCTCTCTGTCTGTATCATCCAGCACAGGTTGGGCACAGAGCAGGTGCCAGTGAGGGTTTGAGAAATGAATGACCTTGTGGAAATGGGTATATAGTCAAAGAGGAGGGCCTTACTCCCTGGAGAGCTACAGTTGATTCTTGAGCAGAGGAGTTCCTCCACTTCCCTGTTATAGAATCTCCTAGGCCTGAGTATTTCTGGTCCAGGGTGAGTGGCTAGAGTCCCTGATGGGAGTGTGGGTAGCCCGGGCCCTCCTGGGAAGCTGCCCCCTCCTTAGCCCTCCTCCCTGGCACCCTGTCTAGGGCTTGGGCCCTAAAGCATGGGAGGAAGGCCTCCTTCAAGCTTCTTGGGGCCCACATGACCCTCTCTTTTCCCACCCCCTCAGGGGAGGCTCCTGGTGTTGCTCTGGCTTCCTGGTGAGTGCCCAGCTTCCTCAGTCCCAAATGTGGGAGGAGGAATCTTGCTGTGGTGGAGCTGTGGGCCAGCAAGGATGTTCCCCAACTCACAGAAAATCCAGGGCCAAGGTATCAGTGCCTCTCACTGGACCATTTTATGTATAGTCTCCTCCTTGGTCTTCTTCCCTTTAGACTCCCCTGTCCTATCTACTTTCTGTGGCATCATCTTTGTCAAGGTCAACTCTGAGTATGTCCTCCCCTGCTTAAGGCCTGCCATGGCACCCCATTGTCCTCAGGTTAGAAGCCAAGCACCTCAGCCTGGCATTCAAGCCTTTTCATGTGAGTGCCTCAGGTCCATACACATTCTGTGCCACCCACCCCTCCATTCTAGCCTCACATGACCTCCTGGCCACACTATCACACCACTGTGTCTTTGCACATGCTCTTTCTTCTGCCTTCAGTGCCCTCCTACCTTTATTGTCTACCCGACAAATTCCTAATCTTTCATTAAGTCCCAGCTCAAATGACCTCTCCTCTGAGCAGCTTTCCCTGACTATCTCCCCAGGCTGGTTAGGGGTTCCTCTGGGCTCTATGGTTCCTGGGCTTCCCTTGGTCATGGCTTAATCACTCAAGTGGACTTCTTCCATGTCTGTGTCTTTCTCCCCATCCAGACTGGAGCTCCTGACCAAGCCTGATCTGAGTCTGGGTTTGCAGTGTTCCTCTGAGGTTGAGTACATGGGGGTACTGGCAAGTGTTTGCTGAGACTTTATGGCTCCTGGGACAGTGATCTTTGATTACGTTACTCTGAGAGTGCAGACTCCTGTGGTTCTGAGAAGCTCACAACCAAAGGCTATGAAAAGCAGCAAGTGACAGAATTGAAGAAACACTTATCATTTACTCTCAGAACCAGAGGCTCTTAAATTGGACCGTCAGAACCAATGAACTCAGAATTCTGGAAGCACCCAGAGTGAGAAAGTCTCAGAATCACAGACCTACTTGTTCTACACTTTTGTCCTATTTTCTACCTTGGCTTCTCCATTCTTCCTTTTTCCTTCCATGCTGGGCTCTTTCTACTTCTCTCCTGACCTGACCATAGCCCCTTCCAAGAGCCTTCCCTGCCTACTCTGCCCATGACTTCTGCCCCTCTGCCTGAGAAGGGTTTCTGTGTCTCTCAGCCAGGACAGGTAGATGCAGCCCCCCACATCAGAACAGAGCACGATTTGCTAGCCACATGGAGTACTACCTGTCCCTTTGTCTTACTCCTTTCTCAGGAGCTGTCTGGTGTGGTGATTCTCCCCATCTGATCAGTGAAGAACTCGAGGCTCAGAGAGGGAAGTTAACTTGACCAAGGTTGCACAGCATGGGTGGTTTGAAGTTGGAGGCTGAACCCAGGGTTCTTTCTTGTAGGTCTGGCTGGAGACATTTGGATGTGATAGGTCAGGGTGGAGTTCAGGGCACTGTGGTTCTCAACTGGTTCCATTTAGCAGTGTGTCTATAGCACTGTGCTGGGCTGGACCCTGCTGGGTCAGAGGAGGGACAGGTAGTTTGCAGTCCTGCTCTGGGGTGGGGGTGAAGGTGCTCAACCCTACACTGAATGTAATTAGAACACCAGACCTTGAGTAAGGCCCTTCCTCTTAAGGAGTCTCAGTTTCCTGGTCTGTAAGTGGGAGGCCAGCCTGGTTGATCTGAGACTCGTGCATGCATTCAGATGTTCTCTTCGTGCGTGGCCCCCACAGCCAGGATTCTAGGGGCTCCCTACAGGGTGAGAGTCTCCAAGAGGACTGGTGAACCCAAGGGCTTTCTGGAGGAGGCTGCAGAGGCTTCCCACTGCCACAGCACCTACTGATACTATCTGAGGTTACCCCCTCAGCTATTTCCCCAGACCAACCCCAGTGCTGGTGGTGCAGAAAGCGTATCAGGCAAGGCTGGGAGCCTACTGGCCTTCAAGCCTGTGGAGGACATTTGGGAGGGGGTGAAAGATAACTTCCAGGATCTTTCCTGTCCTCCTATCCATCCTTGCCCTCTCTACTTCCCTCAAGCCACGGGGATGACTGTCAGTTCCTGAGACATACTGTGTGATCGTTTGCCCTGGTTTTTGCTCACTCTACTCCTCTTCTGTTTCCACGCACCTGACTCTTGTCCATCTTCCAAAATGAAGGTCAGGTGTCCTCTCCTCCAGGAAGCCTTCCCTGACCACCCTACCCCCAGTTCCTATTAGGGACCCTCTTGGCTGCTTCAACCCAACCCTGGTGCCTCTGCTTCCTTCAGCCCTGATCACCCTGAATTATCATTGCCTTTTCTGGGTCTTCCCTATCCTCCCTGACACCCACCACCTTGACAGTGAGCTCCTTGAGATCACAGAAAGGTCCAACTCACCTTGGAGTCCCCAAGTGCCCTGAATGGGGACAGGCATAGTTATGGCAAACATTTGGAAAGGGTGAATGAACTAAGGAGTATAGTTGGGTCTAGTTCCTTCGGCGGGGGCAGTCCTCGGACTGCCCTTCCTTCTGAGGATGGCCTTCAGGGTGGGAAACTTGACCTATAGTCAGTCTGGCTGTGACCTTGCTACTTTGCTCATAATTCCTGTGGCTTTCCTGCCCCTCTTGTCTTCCTGAAATACTCCCATCCTCCCTATCTTCACCACCTGCTGAAATCATATCTTTTTAAGTTATTTCATAAAATGAATAAATCATCTCCTTTAACTGTCTCAACAACCTTATGCAGTGCATACCCTTCCTAGATTGTAAAGAAATTAAGATTTGGGTTATAGAGCTGAGACTTGTCCAAGTACCACAGATGGAAATGGCAGAACTGGGATTTCCCACCTGCCCAGTGCCCTCCCCTGTCCCTCGATGGTGTTCTGGGTCCAAGTCCTCTGTTTCCCCTCACAGCACCCCACCCCCAGCAGAGGCAGGCTGCAAGGGTTTCCAGAGTGGTGATGCGTCATACTCCCCTGCTAGGCTGGACAGGGCCAGCCAGGTAGGCAGGTGAATGGGCAGTACATTCATTCTGGAGCTGCCCTAGTGGAGAAGCTGGAATGTTGTCCAACCACCCTGGAAATTCTGCAGTCAGCCTGGGAACTGCCTCACCCCCTCCTCATGGCTTTGAGTTAACCAGCCTGGGGCTACAAGGAGAAAGACCCAGCCCTTGGGGTAGGGGCGGAGCCTGGCAGAGGCGGCAAGCGGTCTGCCCCTAACTCACTGGTGACCCTGGGTGGGATCTGGGGCTACCGTTTCTGGCCTTAGTTTGTTGTTGTTGTTTTAATTGTAAAATGAATACAATAATCATCATGTCTGCTTCACAATGAGGAAATACCAGGAAGAGTAGATTCTAGCCCTGCCACTAGGGTGTTCCCTCTGGCAGAGAACTGACCAGACAGGCAGAGCCATGGGGCTCAAAGAGGGCTGGTCAGGAAGCTTCCCGGAGCAGAGGACCTAGGCTGAGGAGGGTAGGGGGTAGTGATCAGGGGCACAGCTCCTGCAGTCAGACAGATCAAGACTGCTCTGCAAGTTGCTAGCTTTGGGACCCTGGAGAGTTGTCTAGAGGGGCGTCAGGGGCCAGGTCAGCCAGGGCCTTGAATGCCAGGCTCAAGAGCTTGGATGTTAGCCTGAGGGCAATAGGGAGCCATGGAAGGGTTTTGAGCTTACAGTGTCTAGTCAGATTTGTGTTGTAGGAAGACCTGTGATTGCAGAATGGAAGATGGATAGGAGGGGAGGGGTGGAGGCAAGGAGATAAGTGAGCAGGCTGTGCAATGGTGTGGAGGAAAACCACAAGACTAAGGCTATGGGGTGGGGAAGAGTGGCATGTCTGAGCCACTGCACTGGTTCAGCTGACAGGTTCATTGGCGAGCATTGGGTTACACATGGGTGGGAAAGAGATATATTCTCAAGGATATATTAGAATTTTAAAGTGTGGAAGGATGGGTGGTAGAGATCCATCTCAGAAATAGGAGAATGGCTTTGAGAAAGTGCTGTGCTCCTCCTTAGTCTCTTGAGTGAAGGCATATCCTAAGGAGAAGACGGGGTGGAGTGGGGTGAAAGGTTAACCTCTTTCGTCACTGGACTCTGGAGCAGGTTGGCAAATGGCTACCAGCCCACTGCCCCACGTGAACCTGAGACTCCTGTGGCAAGGTGTGCTGGGAAAATAGTGGCCTAGGGGCATTCCCCAGTGCCACACCTCCTTCCCATTCTTGCAGCCATCCTCCCCCTCTCCTCTTCCCACTTCTCTCCATGCTTGTACATTGCTTCCAGCCTGGAGACCTGGCTTCAACTGTCTCAGACACCCCCACCCCCACCCCCACCCCAGTGCAGGGAAATGAAGCAGATGGAAAGAGGAAGGGAATGTTCTTTTTCCCCTCTGGTAAGTCTGGTTCTGGAGGATGCTGGGACTTGCACATACAGAGGGGTCCCTCCACCATGTAACCATCCCCTCAGTGAAACCTTGTGCCTGGTGTGTGTGTGAGGGCCTGCCAGACAAGACAAAAGCCAGGGGCAGAATTCAGAAGGCCTGCATTCCAATCTTGGCTCTGTCCCTGACTTATGGTGAGGCCTTGTGACAGGGCCTCAGTTTTCTCCTCTGTCAAATGGGAGTTTAGTGCAGGTGATTTCTAAAGGCTGTCCTAGTCCCTGTCTAGAACAGTGTGTGTGTGTATGTATGTGTATGTGTGTGTGTGTGTGTGTGTGTGTGTATGTGCACATGCTGTGTATACATCTGAATGTGACTGTGTATGTCTCCATGTATCTGGATATTTGTGTATGTCCATGCCTGTGTATGTTCATGTGTGTTTACAGCATCTGTGGAGGAATGATTAGAGGTGGGACAGGGGAGGGGGTGTGTTCCAGGTAGAGACATAGCTTGAACAAAAAACCATATGAGCGGAAGTACTATTGAGTGGATACTGGGCAAGGAGGGTGTTGACTGTTTCCTACTCTAGGGACTGAAGCATAGACCAGGACAGAGGGAGGGGCATTGGAGGCTCAGCTCAGCTCAGCTCTGCAGGATGTGAGGGAGACCTTTCCCAGCAGAGCCACACTCCTGTGAAAGGGGGTGCCTGGGGAAGGAGGCTGGGAACAACCATCCCTGGAACATGTGAGCCGAGGGTAGAAGCCAGGGCGTGTGGGTGGGCAGAGGGCACCCCTCCTGGGACAGGCAAACACACCAGTGCTTGCCTCTTTTGGACCAAGGTTGAAGCATAGGAGGCAGGCCTGGGAGGGCTCTGCCTGGCTGACTTCCTATGACCTGGAACCCAAGAGCCCATGCTGTCTCCACCTCCCACAGAGCCCACAGCACTGCCCGCCCTGAGAAGTGCTGGAAGCTGGGTTTATCCCCAGGCCGGAGGACCTGTTTTTCCTGTTTCCTGGAGAATTCCCTGCATCCTGGTCCAGGCCTATGCATTCATGAATGAGAAACCTGAGCGGGCTCTGAACATCCTGACTGTGAGAGCAGGGGCTGGTCAGGTATGGACATGGGAGGGCAGGGTCCACTGGCTGGGAGGCTCACTTGTGCATGTGTATATGCTGGACCAGGGTTCGATCCAGGGGATCCCTACCCTGCTCGCTCATCCCAGGCTCTGATGAATTCAGGCTTCAGAGCCGGGGAGTCCTGGTGTCAAACCCATTTTTTCCAATTCCTGGCAGTGTGATCTTGAACAAATAGCTTAACCTCTATGGCAGTATCTCCTGAGGAGTGAGGGTGGGGGGTGCTGCATGGACGCTGTTCAGCCCAGGTTTGGCCCCTACAAAGTGAGGTGTTGGGGGTAGGGGGCACCAGGACCAGAAGCTCCTGACTCAGACTGACCCATGACCTGAGCCAGAGATGAGCAAGATAAAAGAATGTGCTTGATTCAGACAGCTGACCCACCTCCAGAATGCCTAGGTCCAGTTCCCCTCTCCTGGCGTTTCCCTGGCCTGTCCAGAGAAGGGCAGGGCTCTTGAAAGAGAGGAAGTCCAGAGGCCTGTCTAGGGCAGGAGCAGGCCCAGATGTGCTGGGCCCCCGGAGTGCTCCCCAGGAGGCCCCCTGGGGTCAGCAGCTGAGAAATCTTTAAGTGTCAGGACAACTCTGGGAGGCCCTCAGAGGAATAAGGGAAAGGAGAGCAACTGCCGTGAGGCTCAGCCTCCTCTGGACTCCCATAGCCTCTTGGGCTTGATTGTTTCATTCATGCATTCATTCAGGCATTCATGCATTCATTCATGCATTCATTCATGCATTCATTCATTCTTCCACTCATGTCATACCTGCTTTGGAGCAGGCCTCTTGCTGGATGATAGGGACAGAGAAAAGAATCAGATGGACCAAGACTTCTAGAAGCACCTAGAATGTTTTGGGGTTTCTAGAGGGTGGAAACACAAATTCCCAACAGGGTGTGAGGAGTGTCTGGGGTGGTAGAGTGCCAGAGCTTCAGAGATGAGGTGACCCTTGAGAAGAGCCTTGAGGGATGGCCATGATGGAGTACAGTGTGAATGGGTTTTGGAAGGGCTGTCCAGGCAGAAAGAATAGCATGAGCAAAGGCAGGGAAGGCTGTCAGGGCACTTAAAAGGGGCAGAGCCAGCCAGAACCGGGCACAGAGGGGCTGGCAAGTGGTGTTGGACAAAGATGGGAGCTGGTCTCTAGGGTGAGAGACCCTGGGGAGAGACCCCAAGGGTATGGGAGGTAAGGAGAGGTAGAGGAGAGGGCTGAGAGAGAGGGTTAAGGAGTCAGCTGTCTTCATAAGCAGGGGCCGGAGGTGGGGGGGCAGGAAAGATGTACTCACAGGTTGATGGGTCAGCCTCTCCTGCCAAGGAGAGGGCAGGCAGGGTCAGTCTGGAAGGGGGCCGTGACAATGGAGTCCCCAGCTGGCCTGGGAGGGTGGAGGCCAGGATGTCTTAAAACAGGTGGAAAGGACAGCTTCCTCGCTTCAGGAGAAAGTTAGGGAAGTCTCCCCTACTCTCACCAGCATCAGAGATTCCACCCTTGATGATTAGAAAGAAACTCTGTGTAGAGATGTGGACTATGGCTGGAGGGGTGGAGGGTGGGGGAGGGCCATCGTGACCCAGAGGAGAGACCCGCCAGGCCTAGGCACTGGGGCAGGAGCAGAGCAGCAGTGTGGAGGGGGACTGGGTGTGTGTGCTTCCCCTGTCTTCAGTGGGCAGAGCGTCTCATGGGGATTTAGGACTCCAGTTCTCTAAGGCCGGGGATTCAGTCCACAAGAGGTCTGAGCCTCAGGAGGGCAGGAAATGCTTGATGTCACCTGGGGTTTTGTGGCACAGCGGGACACCCCAACCCAGTGTCCCCACGGGGGAGGGAATGTGGCCTCTCCATAGCTCCTCAGTCTCACTCAGGCCTCCATGCTCCTCCTGTAGCTGCTGGGAGCCAGCAACTCCCAGCCCACCTCCCAAAGTGCTGGATCTGGTGGTCCTGGGCTTTGCCCTTCCCCACGTCCCATGACACCCCTTCAGGGCACCCCACATTTACCATGTCTGACAACGAGTGCCCCTCTCCCCATACCTGCTCCTCCCCCAACCCCTGAGCCAGACACCCTGCCCCTCTTCAACCCAAACTCCCTCTGGGCCAGACTCTCTGGCCTTCTTCCCTAACCCCTCCACATCTCTCCCCTCACAAGGTCCCCAGGCCTGGCCCTGGCTTAGGCTTTAGCACCAGTCCCCTGGCCCACCGCACTCACCTGCTGCACAGCCTCCAGTGAAGACCTTCTATCGCTCCTCCACTGGTGGAGAGCTTCCTGCAGATTTCGGGAAAAGGCCACATCTGGGCTGAGCCTTATACCACCACAACGTACCTACTATGTGCCGGGCATTGCTCCAAACATTTCACACAAATTACTCAATCGTCACAGCAGTTGTATGATGTAGGTTCTATTAATCGCCTCATTTTACAGATGAGGAAACAAAGGTGGCCTGGCTCCAGAGGCCAGGTTCTTAATCGCTGGAGTTTGTTGCACTGAAGGATAAAAAGTTGTAATTCCAACAGGTGGAGACGAGGGGTGTGAATGGATTCCAGGTTGAAGGAGCACTATGAACTAGGGCTGGGAGGGAGAGTGTTGGGTGCATTCAGGAAACTGCAGGTCACAGAGGATGGGGCTGGTGAGGGTTATGAAACCATCCCATACCAGACTGAGGAGGAGTGGGGTTTTCTCCTGAGAATAGGCAGGAGTCGCAGAGGGTTTCGAACAAGGGAATGACTTTGTCTTCAAGAAGTCCCCCTGGATTGGGGGAACTGAGGCTAGAGGCAGGGAGGCGGAGGCAGTGGCTCTGGCAGCAAGGGTGGAGGCAACGCGGGGCTGCATGGAGAAGGGGTGGGATGCAGGAGACGCTTGAGTGTCGGGTCCTCAGTCCTGGCTCGGGGCAAGAGGGGTCCGAGGAGTTTGGCCCTGCCAGAGTTCCCCGTGGCAGGGGGAGCTGCCCCTGCTCAACTTGGCACCACACGGCCTCCCTGCCTGCTCACCCTGGACCGGCCCTGGTTCCTTGGGGAGGAAGCTGTGTCTGTGAGAGGCAGGTGCATGCTCTTGGTTGCACTTCTGCTGACACCAGGAGACAGGGAAGATTCTGGGGTGCGGGAAAAGGGTTTGGGGAGAGAAGGGAAACTGAGAGACCTATGTGTCTCTCGGCCCCCTAATGTCAACCTCAGGGGCCCTGAACTACTACTGGGAGGCCAGGCTGGGCAGGAAGCTCATGGTCTAAGGGAGTGGATGTCACTGGCCCTCTAGAATCTCCAAGCCCCAGCCTCTCAGGACCTCAGTTCCAAGACGAAGGGAATTGTGCCACCCCAGATACCTAGGATGGGGAGGACTCACATGTCATCTGCCCCCTCTGTCCTCCCAGACACACCCACACACAGGACACAAGCCTTTCTGCAGACTCTGCTGGAAGAGACGCTGGCATGCCCCCAGAACAAGGAGTTCACTACCTCCTTCCTACAGCCCCTTCCACTGTGGGACGCACCCGGATGAGTTGTAGCCATCCCTAACCATATGACCTTGGCCAAATTACTTGAATGATCTCAGCCTCTTTATTGGAAAACTGGGCATGATAACCTGGTTCCCAGAAACATGTTGTAAAGATGAAATGAAGTAACACTTTAAAGCATCCATGGTAGTGGGGTTTGAAAAAATAGCAGCTCCCCAGCCCCTTCCCACTGTTAGAAAGTTATTCTTCATGTTGGTCCCAAACCTGCCTACCTGTTACGATTTCCAACCTGACGCTGGGAACTTTGGCCACATCTTTGCCCTCCAGCCTGGGCTCTCTGTCCCCTGCTCCCCGCTGAGAGAGAGCTCTTACTGGTCACATTGGTGGGGACAAGGAGATGATGAAGACGGACAATCTGTGCTCCAGGTACTTACTCTGTGGGCAGTCAGGCCCCACGGGTACATATGCCCACTAGGAATAAGGCAAGAGACCATCAAGATAGTGGTGGTGTGTGAAGAGAAGCTGGGTAGGTATGAGGGAAGCTGAATTTCCCCACAAAAGAAGTCCCTCTCTGCTCCCATTCTCACCTCTGGCCCAGACTTCCCTGGCATCTTCAGAAGGGTCACTGTCCCATCTGGTAGCCTCATGGGCCGGGGAGCAGGGCTGCTGTTTACAAGTGCCGAAAGTGCCAGAATATAGGAGTACCTAAAAACTATTTGCTGGGAGGTTAATAAATGACTAAAGGGGGAGACCCTTGGAAATACTCCCTCAAATACCAAAATACCAGGCATGGGGCCAGAGAGCCTCTCAGAGGGCAGAAAGATGAGCTAAGGGAAAGAGCTTTCTAATACTTCCAGCAAGGTAGAGGCTGCCCACCGGCCAGTGAGCGCTGGGTGTGAGGTGGAGCCAGCCAGCCTGATAGCCTCCTTTCTGTGAATCTGAGATGACACTGCTCTGGGACCCCCCGATCCTCAGATGCTAGAGCTCAGGATCCTCGATCTAGAACTCTGTGCTCCTGAGGTTCTAGAGCAGGGTTGCCAGTCTTAAACAATCACACAAAAACAAAAAACAGGGGCGCCTGGGTGGCTCAGTCGGTTGAGCGACCGACTTCGGCTCAGGTCATGATCTCACGGTCCATGAATTCAAGCCCCGCGTCGGGCTCTGTGCTGACAGCTCGGAGCCTGGAGCCTGCTTCTGATTCTGTGTCTCCCTCTCTCTCTCCCCTTCCCCACTCATGTTCTGTCTCTCTCTGTCTCAGAAATAAACAGTTAAAAAAAATAAAAAAAAAACAAAAACAAAAAACACAAAAAACAAAGCCAGGGGTAACTATTTTAGGCTTTGGGGAATATACGGTCTTTGTTGCAACTATTCAACTCTTTATAAATAAGGTGGGTATGATTGTGTTCCAATCAAGCTTTTTTTTTTTTTTTACAGAAACAGACTGGTGGACTGCATCTGGCCCTCAGGATGTAGTGTGCCTGCCCCTGTTGTGAAGTTTTAAAGGTGTGTGGCCACGATACTCCTAGACCTCATGCATCCTCGAAGTTCCGGGGTTCCGAGGTTCTGGGCCCTCTGGGTCCAGGGAGGAAGCCAGGTCAGGTGGCCGCAAAAGCCTTGACTGTGGTGGGGCAGACCTTAACCAAGGGAATCTATGGGTACTTGGGGTCCCTCATGGCCCCGGTCAGGTGGGTGTGTCAGGCCTCCCCACTGAGCCCTGGTTGTGACCCTCGTGGCTGTTCTCCCCACCACCCCTTCCCTTCAGGGCAATGGCCACAGGCCCGGGCCACTGGAACAGCACCGTCAATGACACCTGGGGTGGGGACGAGCTGGGCTACAAGTGCCGCTTCAATGAGGACTTCAAGTACGTGCTGCTGCCTGTGTCCTACGGTGTGGTGTGTGTGCTCGGGCTGTGTCTCAACGCCGTGGCGCTCTACATCTTCCTGTGCCGCCTCAAGACCTGGAACGCATCCACCACGTACATGTTCCACCTGGCCGTGTCCGATGCGCTGTACGCAGCCTCCCTGCCGCTGCTGGTCTATTACTACGCCCGCGGGGACCACTGGCCCTTCAGCATAGTGCTCTGCAAGCTGGTGCGCTTCCTCTTCTACACCAACCTTTACTGCAGCATCCTCTTCCTCACGTGCATCAGCGTGCACCGATGCCTGGGGGTCCTGCGCCCGCTGCGCTCGCTGCGCTGGGGCCGGGCCCGCTATGCCCGGCGGGTGGCAGCTGCCGTGTGGGTGCTGGTGCTGGCTTGCCAGTCACCCGTGCTCTACTTCGTCACCACCAGCGTGCGTGGCGGCCGCATTACCTGCCACGACACCTCAGCACCCGAGCTCTTCAGCCAGTTCGTGGCCTACAGTTCTGTCATGCTGGGCCTGCTCTTCGCAGTGCCCTTTGCCATCATCTTGGTCTGTTACGTGCTTATGGCTCGGCGGCTGTTGAAGCCAGCCTACGGGACCTCGGGAGGCCTGCCGCGGGCCAAGCGCAAGTCGGTGCGCACCATTGCCGTGGTGCTGGCTGTCTTCGCCCTCTGCTTCCTGCCTTTCCATGTCACCCGCACCCTCTACTACTCCTTCCGCTCCCTGGACCTCAGCTGCCACACCCTCAATGCCATCAACATGGCTTACAAGATCACCCGGCCGCTGGCCAGTGCCAACAGTTGCCTTGACCCCGTGCTCTACTTCCTGGCTGGGCAGAGGCTTGTGCGCTTTGCCCGAGATGCCAAGCCACCCACAGACCCCACTGCTACTGCCCCAGCTCGCTGCAGACGGGGCCTGCACAGGTTGGACAGGACTGACATCAAGAGGACAAAAGATGTGTCGAGCAGCAGTGAGGACTCTAGGCGGACAGAGTCCATGGCAGCTGGTAGTGAGAACACTAAGGACATCCGGCTGTAGGACCTGAACCCCTGGCGCCTGTGCAAGTTAATATTGGGGGTGGGGGGAGTGGGGAGGCTGTGGGGACTAGGATTTCCTCCATTGGGATAGTCTCCCTAGATATGCCCCATTAGTGACTCATGCCTGATGGTCAAGGGAGCCGTGACCTCAACGCTCTGTCATTTGGCAGAATATTCTCTGCAGTCAGAGATCTTAACAGTCCCTACAACCCCAGTCACCATTTGTATGTGTGAGTTGGGGAATAAGGCTTCGTGAAAGGCAAGGGTAAGGGGCCAATGCTGCCCCTGGCCTGACTCCCACATAATTAGCTGTCTGTGCCCAGCAAGGTATCTAGGCTGGAACCCAGCCTGATCGAGTCAAATGGAGAAACAGATGCAGAGAAGAAAGTGACTTACCAAGGTCACATAGTCTGGGCCTGAGCTACCTGGGAGGGGTGGAGTTTCAGGGTGATCAGAGGACCCTGGTAAGGAGCCAGAGCTGAGCCGGAGCTTCCCATGGAGCGGTCAAGGGCAGGTCTAGATGCCACAGTGGACACACCTCTGAGGAGCATCCCCATCCCTAGAGGTGACTGTAACATCTGGGAGCTGATGTCATAAACTCATCTGGAGGCTTCCCGGGCCTGGGAGCCAGTTTGAGGCTGCAACTTCTACCGAAGGTGTTGTTGCCTGCCGTGTTGTGCCCTATTGTGTGGTTTGAGGATGAGGATACAGTCTAAGAAGCTCTTACCATCCACACTGAAGTTCTTTCTCCAACCTCTACTCTTCTGCCACCTGCCTTCCCACTAGCTGCCTCAGTGGTAGTCTCACATCAGGGATCCTCTTTCCAGACCTCTTTCCAGGTCATCCCTCACTTTAGAGCCAAGTGGCTTTGGTGCCTGGCTCTGCTGAGTGCAGATAGGAGTCAGATGGAGTCCTGTCCTTGGGATCCCCTAGTTTAGGGATTAATGGCTATGAACAGTCATGTGCTGGTAAATGTGAAACCATCTAACTGGCTTTCCAGGGGGTGAGGGGAACCCCTTATCTGTAGCATTGCTAATTGCCATGGTGCAGATACTCTTGCCTTGGCCAATTTCAGACCAGTAATGTGATGTCAGCCTCCTTGCAAAATTCCTGAAAATTTAACAATTGGCTCTTGCAAGCAGGTCCAACATGCTCCATCGCAACACTGGATAATGCTGAGTGATTGGAGGTGTGGACCAGCATGTGAGAGAGGCTTCCTGGGACACACTCCTGAACTGTAGCTTCTGAGAAAAGCAGTTTATCGGAGAAGAACATCCAGGTGCAGGGTACATCCTGGGCAAAGACATGGGGGCAGGAAAGCAGGGTATGCAGGAAGTGGAAGCAGGCTGGGCAGCCGGTGCTCAGTCTCAAGGCAAGAATGAGGCTGGGAGTGGGTCACCAGGCTAACAAGTCAGGGCTCCTTCCTTGCCTTTACCCAAGGTCTCCTTTGCACTGGGGCTAAGTATGGGAGAGATTCCCTTCTCTTCCTGTCCCATCCTCTGCCTCCTGGGAAAATCCTGCTATATGGCATAATGGTGCTCAGACTGGCTCAGGGTGAGGTAGACCTTTCTCACCTGTGACAGATTCTAGGTCCAGCCATGACCACTGTGGAGGTTTGTGGAGCTGAGCTGGACAGGGACCAGCTCAGCCTTGGGGCAAAGCTAACAAGTCTCATTTTTTTTTAATGTTTTATTTATTTTTGAGACAGCACAAGCAGGGGAAGGGCAGAGAGAGAGGGACAGAGGATCCAAAGTAGGCTCCGTGCTGACAGCAACGAGCCCAATGTGGAGCTCGAACTCACGAACCACCAGATCATGGCCTGAGCCCAAGTCAGACACTCAACCGACTGAGCCACCCAGGAGCCCCTGACAGGTCTCATTCTTAATCTCAAACATAAAGACCTACTCCCTCTCCCTCGGGGAGACCCCCTTTCCCTATAGGCCCACTCTGCCTGAGAGAAGATTCTTCCCTTCACTCCATGTCTTCCTGTCTCCTGTGACCTCTTCACCCTTTCCACTCTGTCAGAACGAGGCACTCCCAGGGGTTGCTCTATTTAGAATCTAGTTCCACACAGCTCCTTCATGCAACAGGGACCCATCACAAGCCATGACCCAACCAATTACTCTGCATTGTGCAACGTGGGTGTCCTGTTCAAAGTAATGTGAAATGCTCACCTCCCACATTCTAGGTTCTATATTTCTGTTCATATAACCAGAGTCCCTATGAGCTTTTTTGTGACTACTTCTTATAGACTGACCTTGAGCCAACCTTTCCTGCAGTCCCAAGCCTATCTCCTTCCTACCAGCTGCTGCTGAGGCTGAACCCCATTCTAGTTTATAGGAAGCCCCTACCCAGGTAAGATTACACCCAAAGGTGTAAATGCTGGGCTCTGATTCCCTCAGCCCTGCTTAGACCAGAGGCAGGAGGTTATACATCACAATTTGGGGGCTCCCGAGTGTGCATCTCTGGTTGGGGGTAGGGCAGTGGCCACCACAGGCCCAAGTTCCCTTAGTCCCCATTCCTTTTGTGTCCTGCCTACCTACCCTACCAGCAGCTTCCCTGGAGACCCTGAGAACCCAGGGCCCTGCAGCACATGGAACCAACACTACGGCATAGCACCAGGAAGCCTTCCTTGAATCAGCTGCCCGTGCATTTCCAAGGACATAGGACCTAGGGGAAAGGAGGGCCATATTCACCTTCTAATCCAGTGGCAGACACTGGTGGGGTGGGGAATGGAGACCCTAAGGGAACCGGGGACAGGCCAGGGTCTTGCCCCTGGACCCCAGTCAGATTGCCTGACCCCTCAACGTGGACGTCTGGCCCTGCTGCTAGGCCTTCACCTAGTGGGTGAGGTTCCTGGCCCTCCCGCCTTGTGCTATTTTCAGCCCACGTAAGAACAGGATTTTCCACTCCCAGCCCCAGACCATTGTCCAGTAGTGACGTGGGGGGACCTGCCCACTCTAAAAATATCTCCTCTTACTCTCTGGGCCTCCCTGCCACCTCCCAACCACCCCACCTCCTCACCCTGACATCACTTCCTGGGGCTGTTGACTCTTGAAGGCCACTGTGAAAGGGCACAGCCACCTGACAGGGACCCCAGGGATTATCCAGCCCAGCTGTAGAGTTGAGAGGGGCGGGGCCTTGCCCAAGGTCACTCAGCAGGTCAGTGTGGCGCCTGGATGTGTGCCAGGGGCTCAGGCTGTCCCTGCTGGTCTGTTCCCTTTAGTACAGGTCGGTGCCTTTGTGGGATTCCTGCCATCACCCACAGTCCCCCAGCCCTTCCCACCCTGGTGGACAGAACTGGTGGATGGAGCTATGGCACTGAGGCCAGGGACATAGGACAGGAGTGGGGGGCAATAGCAATAGGTGGGGGGAAGAGCAAAGGCCTGCTGTCCTGCCTGCAGCAACTATTCTCAATGAGCTCAGTGCATCTAGGGCAGAGGCCCTGGCACACAGCGGGTCTCTGCCCTGGGTGGCTGGTGTCTCAGGGCCCAGGAGAAGTTAGACCACCAGAGCTACCCCTCTGCCACCACTCTTGTCACGGCAGGTTTGGGCTGCTCTGTTCTAGCACATGAGGATGGGAACTCCTGTACTAACCCATGTCCCAGGCACTGTGCCAGACCCTTTCATATCTATTATTTATTCCTTGCCACAACTGTGTGAAATAGACATTATTTATCCCCATTTAGCAGATAAGGGGACAGGCTCCGAGAAGGGAGGCCTTGCTGTGGGTTATATAGGCAGCAAGTGAATGAGTCAAGATTGAGTCCAGGTCCCTCAGATGCCCAGATTCGTTCCTTTTCCAGTATCCCATACCACTTGTAACCCCTGTAGAGTGGGAGGGTCTGTAAGTAACCATGTGATTCAAGGGAGAGAGACAATATAGCAAGGAAGGGGTTAAGAGCACAGATTCGATGCCCATGCCACCTCTGTTTGAGTGTTGTCTCCTCTTCCTCCAACTGTGGCACTTTGCTCAAAGTACTTAATCTTGCAGGGCCTCGGTTTTCTCATTTCCGAAAAGAGATACTACCTGCCACGTGGGGCACTGGGTCAATATACATGAACACTTAGAACAGTACCTGGCACACAGTGAGCATTTACATGCCAGGCACTGTGCCAAGGTGATACAGAGGCAAACCGGCCGGACCCTGCCCTCATGGAGTTGACATAATTTAATATATAACCATACCAGGATAAATTATTTGAAGGAAAGGAATGTCCAGCCAGTGAGCAACAGTGGGCCTCCTATGGCCAAGGCTTCACCAGGATGTGGGAAGAGGAAAGCAGGTCTGTCCTGGGATAAGGTGTGGGACCCCCCTCTGCCCTGCTTGGAGCTCGTTGGCCTTCAGGCCCACGGGCCTGTGTGTGTTTACAGAACCTTATCCCTCTGCCAGCCTGGGAGAGGGCAGCAGGGAAAAGGGGGGGGGGGGGGACGGGGCAGGATGCCCTTGCTGTAAAGCTTCTAGAGCCAGCTTCTATGGACTAGAGAGCTCCAGCTCACCCATGGCACCAGGCTTAGCCGTTTCTGCCTAACTGGTGGTGACTGTCATGGGGTGCTGCAGCTTCTTGGTTCAACCAAGAGCCTGGAGACCCAAGGTGGCAGGACTGACTGGGAGCTAGGCCAGAACAGGCAATGAATAGGCAACTTTTGCTGTGTGACCGGAGGCCACCTGCCTGCCCTCTCTGGGTCACTCTCTGAAGCCCTTACCTCCCATGTTCCAGTTCTCTCTGTCTCAGGGCATTAGCTACCTAGATCTTCAGCAAAGGCACAACGAACAGCTGCTCCCCCAGGCACTCCCCCAAGGCCCCTGGGCTCTCTGTTCTGAGGACTAGAGTTGGGGCAGCAAGACTCCCCTGGCATCAAGTGACTAGAGAGGTACAGCGCCTCCCTTGGCACCCTGCAGTGGCTTGGAGTGGAGCTGGTCCAATGTCTGATGTCCCTGCCTCCTGTGAGGTGGACGGTGGAGTCTGACCAGGAGTAACTAAGCAGTAGGCTGAGAGATGTGTTTGCCTTTCCAAGGGGTGTGTGCTGGTGGGATGTGGAGAGGGGGGGAAACGAGCCCCAGAAGCCAACTTCTTATCCTCCTCTGCCCTATGTGCCATGTGACTTGGTATACATCCCTTCTCCTCTCTGGGCCTCAGTTTCCCCATCTGCCGTGGGGCTTGGCTCCACCCAGCCACTCTTCCTCCAGTACAGGCTTCCTGAGCTTGCCTGTCTTGGCTCCAGCTCAGCCAGGTGTCCAGACTCAGTCCTGTCCCAGCCAGGAACAATGGGCCAGGCTGGGCCAGTCACTCATGGGCCCCAAACTCAGTCCCCAAGGGCTTACCCTGGACTATTTTCAGACCTTGGAGATGGAATCAGAAAAGGATTTTCCACTCTCAGCACAATGGCTGCCCCGGACCATTGTCTAGCAGTGACCAGGGGATCCGTCTGCCCAAAAGTACCTTCCCTGCTCCTACCTTCTGGGCCTCTGCCTCCTGTTCCTCATCTCCCTGCATTGACATGGCTTCCTGGGGCTGTTAACTCCTGAAGGCTGTTGTGAAACAGCATGTTGAGTCCCCTGGAAGACATGACCAGTTGGAATCAGTTTTCCCTCCCGGCAGGGACCCCAGGGATTATTTATTAGCAGATAAGAGATGAGAGACCGAGAGAGAGAGAGCTATGCCTTTCACTAGGTCACACAGCAGTCAGCATGGAGACTAGATGTGAGGCCAAGGCTTTGTCTGCTTCTGCTGCCTCTGCTGCCCTCATTAGCACTGGTCTGCCCCATCTGAGAGCTCACCTTGGAAGGTCACAGGTGGACATGCTGCAAAGAGGCCTGGGTGACATGGGTGAGAGGGGGTGCACCTTGGAGCTCCCTATTCAGTCCTATTTTTACCAAATGTGGCTTTAGCTTGCCCTGAGCTCAGGTTACCAAGTTGCAGCTCTGGGGAAAGAAGAAGATTGGGGGACACAGGGAAGCTGAGGCCGGAGGAGGGTTCTGGCACAGCTTGGCCTTCACCAGCTCTGTGACCACAAATTCAATTTCTTCATCTGTAAAATGGAACTGATAATATTTCTTTTTCCAGAGTACTGAATAGTGAGGCA